TAATTTAATTTTATTTTATTTTATTTTATTTTATTTTATTTTATTTTATTTTATTTTATTTTATTATTATAGTCAGATCATTTGTAATATAATAATAATCTAAATTTAATTTAAATTGTTTTAAATTATTTTACATAATAAATTAATTATTACAATTATTATTTTATTATAATAATTATTATTTTAATTATTAAATTAAATAAAAGTTTATTATTAGTAGTATTAGTATTAGTATAAATCACATTACCTTGAGAAAATCTGCTTTATATTACTGAGAATTAAGTCAGATCAGTGTTAATTTAATATTTTGAATTAGCTTTTATTATTATTATTTTTTTTATTTGTTTTTCATTTTAGCTTAAGTTTTAGTAATTTTGGAAACTGATGTAGTTTATTTATTCTCATAACGGTCAGTGATATCGTATATATGTATAATTTTGTAATTTGTATAAAAATAGTTTAAATGTAAATAGTTTTAAATTATTATTTTTAATGATAAATTATTATCATACTCTTATTTATTATAACACAACATTTTTGTAATAATTCGGGGGATACAGGTCAGGATCAGTGTTATTTTAGTATTATTCTTTAGTATATTCAATTATTTTGAATTAGCTTTTATTTTCATTTTAATGTTAGTTTAAGTTTTAGTTATTTCTATCTAGGTTTTTAAATATTTCGATTTATCTTTCATTTATTTTTATTTCAGTTAGCTGTCAAGGAAACATTTCCAATTGTTTAGAGTTCTATGTTTTTCTACATTTTTCATCTGATATTTATATTCTAGTTTCCAGCTTTATTTAAATGACTAAGAATGGTTTCTTTTTAGTTAACAGTGACAGCAGCGGTCAGTATTTGGTTTTATGTTGTATTATCCTGTTATTCTTTCAGACGAGGTCCGCACAGGCACCTATCGCCAGCTGTTTCATCCCGAGCAGCTCATCTCAGGTAAAGAGGATGCAGCGAATAACTACGCCCGTGGGCACTACACCATTGGCAAGGAGATCATTGACTCCGTACTGGACCGCATACGCAAACTGGTAATTAGTCTTATATTTACTTACAAAAGAGCTCAAAATAACAGAATCTAAAACGCAAATGTTCTCCCTTCTTCCACACAGGCTGACCAATGCACAGGGCTGCAAGGTTTCCTGGTCTTCCACAGTTTTGGTGGAGGCACAGGCTCAGGCTTCACCTCCCTTCTGATGGAGCGTCTCTCTGTTGACTTCGGAAAGAAGTCCAAGCTGGAGTTTGCCATTTATCCAGCTCCACAGGTGTCTACGGCTGTGGTGGAGCCGTACAACTCTATCCTGACCACTCACACCACCCTGGAGCATTCCGACTGTGCCTTCATGGTGGACAACGAGGCCATCTACGACATCTGCAGGAGGAACCTGGACATCGAGCGTCCGTCCTACACCAACCTCAACCGGCTCATCAGCCAGATCGTTTCCTCCATCACCGCCTCTCTGCGCTTCGACGGCGCCTTGAACGTCGACCTAACGGAGTTCCAGACCAACTTGGTGCCCTACCCTCGTATCCACTTCCCCCTGGCCACATACGCTCCGGTCATCTCCGCTGAGAAGGCCTACCATGAGCAGCTCTCAGTGGCTGAGATCACCAACTCCTGTTTCGAGCCCAGCAACCAGATGGTGAAGTGCGATCCTCGGCATGGAAAGTACATGGCCTGCTGTTTGCTGTACAGGGGTGACGTGGTGCCAAAAGACGTCAACGTCGCCATCGCAGCCATCAAGACCAAGAGAAGCATCCAGTTTGTGGACTGGTGTCCCACTGGCTTCAAGGTGGGCATCAACTATCAGCCCCCAACGGTGGTTCCTGGAGGAGACTTGGCCAAGGTGCAGCGAGCCGTGTGCATGCTCAGCAACACCACAGCCATCGCTGAGGCCTGGGCTCGTCTGGACCACAAGTTTGACCTGATGTATGCCAAGAGGGCCTTCGTGCACTGGTATGTAGGTGAAGGCATGGAAGAGGGAGAGTTCTCTGAGGCCAGGGAAGACATGGCGGCTCTGGAGAAGGATTATGAAGAAGTGGGCATCGATTCATTTGAAGAAGACGAGGAAGGGGAAGAGTTCTAAAGGGAAAGTGTTGTTTTTTTCTACCAAATAAAAGCCAAATAAAATAAAGCTTTTAATTGTGTTGTTGTTGTGGTTCTTTTCATAATTTGGTGACTTTGTCACATATAGGCATTTTCTCAAATATATCTGTCCATAGACCCTTTGTTTAAAAACACTGGTTATAAAAACATTATTATTACAATTAATCATATTAATGATGGAGATATTTATATTTAATATGAATTATTAGTAATTATCATGTTAATATTTAGGCCTAACAACTGCATTATACACAATTATATAATATTAAAAAGCCATAATTTGTTTATACGCTAATATTAACAATTATATTAATTTAACAATTATCCAATTACAATGGTGTGTATACTATTTTGAACTGTAAACCATGCAAACGTTTTTTTTTCTACTAGAAGAGCCTTAATATGACAATATAAACCACAATAAATTAAATGAGAAACATTTACACAAATGTTTTAAACTCGTTAGCCATTTTTTATAGTCCTCCTATACACAAATGTTAAATTTATACTTACATATTTAATGTGTGCATTACAAATAATTACATACTATTAAAATATAACATTGCAATTATTTAATAATTTGATGTTTTGATAATATTAACAATTATATAAATTACTCACAACTTTTATCTGTTTAATTATAATTAATTTAATTATAGACTACAATACAGATTTTTTATTTTGTATTTATTTAACCTAGCTGTATTGCAATAACACTATTAAAAGCAATAAGCCCGTTTCCTAACCGGGGATGTACCAGCAGTGTATGGGTTAAATCGGCAGTCGGAAGTATGCGTCACGGTGACGTTTTCTTTGTACACGGAAGAAACCGGAGAAATCAGCGGAGGACGGGGAGAGCGTCTCATAAGGTAAACCGAGTCTGACTTGAATCCTTCTCTTAGACCCATATTCAATGGCTCGATTACAACAACAAATAAAGAACCTAGTCTACATCTGAATGTTCGGGTCTTGCTCGGTGAATTCAATGCGGCGAAACACAAACCAGCTGTTCTCGAAGACGCCACGCTTACTGCGGGCACGAATTCACGAGTCGGTCGATGTGTACATCAGTTACCGTAACGAATTCACGGTAAACACGTTCACTCTCGAGCAACTCTTATCAAGTGGCATCTGTAACATTTCCAGCGCAATAGCTTTACGTCATAAAGGTAAAATATAAGGAGCCAATCAGAAAGCTCCCTTCTACACAGTGAATAGTTTATTTTAGTGGAAGATTGGACACCGACAGTGGCTTATGCCGAGTTCACACTGCACGATATTAGCCCGATTTTTCACTCGCCGACAGGTTTTGTGAAATCGCCGACAAATGCCCGAAA